CAAGTAAAAAATCTTAGTTTATGTTAATAGAGCTTACATCTTATGCAAGTTTTGCCAGGTTCTTCTTTAAGTTTAGTCCATTATTTAAAATTATTATAGGTAAAGTAAAACAAAGCACTTTCTTCAGTTCACATAAGAACTGGCTAACATTCCAGTCCTGTAAAATATTTAACTGCTGGCATGAAGCTCAGATCTGTACCATGCCTCTGCAAGCCAGCAATCACATTAGGCTTATATTGTAATACATTTATAATTGTGATAACCACTTTGAAATAATACCAAATTCCAGAGCAAAATAGATCTATGAATATTAGGACAAGATGAAATAATTTATGTTCAAAGAAGGCAGATATTTTTTTGAGTGATCAAATATCTATATCCATGGCAATCTACAGCAATTTTGATAATATATAGTGCAATTTGAAGTATTAGCCTACGGCAAGATAGTTTTAAGGGCCAAGTAATTCTCTGAATAGTCCAATCTTTGATTGAAGACAGAATCTTTCATGTAGCTAGGCTTGCACAGGAACAGTTCTGGTAAAGAAAAGCTCCCAGAAAGTTACTCTGTGTAATGGAAAGGGTAGATTGAGGCTCCATAATCATCATTAAAAACCCTGTGGGATGAACAATAATTAAAACTACATGAAAAACAATTGACTACAGAAAAGCTTTTGGTATGCAATATGTCAATCTTTGCAGTGCATTCAACATCCAGCCTTGTTATCTGTTATGGAGATTTCACTAGATGTCTTGAAATGAAGGCAACCTCCAAGTTATCTTAACATTGTGATCTCCTTACCACAGGCTCTCTGGGGAATTCATGTTTTTCTTGTGTATTTTCAGACTTCCTGCGCAGGAGACTGCCAAAAAGGATTACTAATGCAAATAAGATGAGGCTACACTTGAAATCCTCATTCACAATGGAGAACTTTATATTACATTTACACATTCATATATTAATAAAATACAAATGAAGACATTTGACCCCCAAGATTTGTCTCCTTCTGAAGCTGGCATAGGAAATTCTATCAGTCTGGGGCTTGCTCAGATGTCAGTTTGGTTCCTGATGACCATGCTTAAGGCTGCTATAATGCGTGCTGTTTTGAAACATCCATTCCAACAATGTGCCAAGAATGCAAGAGCATCCCTTATCCTGCATATCTTCTCTAAGCCTGGATTTGACAGGAAAAAATTGCTCTATTAGGGAAGCATTGTGGTAGCAAAATGATTCTTACATGATTTAGTTTAAGTACAAAGCATTCTGAAGCAAGAAATAACTTTAAAGTCTTAATTGAAAAAGAAGCTTCATTGTATAAAAAGTCAATGAGCCAAGACAAAACTAAAGCTTACCTGGTCATTCCTACTCCATATCAAAGCTTGACTACTTCTACAATTTTTTCATCATTCTGTAAAACATGAACTAGGGGGAAAAAAAAGTTTTCCGGTGTCAGCAACAACTTTCATCATCCTGATGTTTGATTTTCTGATGAGGTTATACATGACCTCAAATAAACCACCTTCAAAGCTTGAGGACTGGAAGATTCTTTTCTTTCTGTCCAGGTTTTGTCTTCTTAAGGGCTGCTCTTTAGCCAGTCTCCATTACCACCAGGAGAGCAGCTTTTCTCAGTGGACTTACAAACATTTGTGAATAAAGGTTATTATTTTTGTGACAGCTGCTGTGTTTGTAAATACTGATTGTATCTAGATAACCTTAATAAGCTTTCTGTCATGACAGGTTGTCTTGGAAGGCTCATGGAGGAACTATCCATATTTTGGGAGTGATGGTTGATGAGAAAATGAACATGAGCAGGCAGTGTGCGCTTGCAGCCCAGAAAGCCAACTGTATCCTGGGCTGCTTCAAAAGGAGCATGACCAGCAGGTCGAAGGAGGTGATCCTGCCCATTTACTCTGCTCTTGTGAGACCTCACCTGGAGTATTGTGTGCAGTTCTGGTGTCCTCAACATAAAAAGGACATGGAACTGTTGGAACAAGTCCAGAGAAGGGCCACAAGGATGGTCAGGGGACTGGAGCACCTCCCTTATGAAGACAGGCTGAGGAAGTTGGGGCTGTTCAGCCTGGAGAAGAGAAGACTGCTTGGAGACCTCATAGCAGCCTTCCAGTATCTGAAGGGGGCCTATAGGGATGCTGGGGAGGGACTCTTCATTAGGGACTGTAGTGATAGCACAAGGGGTAACAGGCTCAAACTTAAACAGGGGAAGTTTAGATTGGATATAGGGAGGAAATTCTTTCCTGTAAGGGTGGTGAGGCACTGGAATGGGTTGCCCAGGGAGGCTGTGAATGCTCCATCCCTGGCAGTGTTCAAGACCAGGTTGGACGGGGCCTGGGGTGATATGGTTTAGTGTGAGGTGTCCCTGCCCATGGCAGTGTGGTTGGAACTAGATGATCTTAAGGTCCTTTCCAATCCTAACTGTTCTATGATTCTATGATATTACCACTTTCTATACAGAACAAGCAATGGTATCAGACCAAGTCTTGCAGAGGTTTCCACATTTGAAAGAGCATTCTCTTTCTCTAATTTTTATTTAATTGCCATTACCAAACTGCTTGACAAGCAGGAATTAATCGACTGGTAAATTCAACATTACTATTCCAGTACCATTAGTGGGGTAGGACAGTAATAGGATTTCATGTCCAGCCTATCTCTAAGGCATTAGCCATTGCCAGAACTGAAGCACAGCACAAGTCTCTCTCTTCTGAGTTCAACTCATTCTTCTGAAGAAACTCTCTTCCGACCTGTGGAATCACATACCTGCCTACCACTAGCCAGCAGCTCACTCCCAACTTGTTCTTACTCTCCATGGGCTATGCAGCCCTTCTGCTCCCTCAGGCAACGCCAGTGCTTGTCTGGTCTGAACCAGGGAGCTGAGCCAGGTGAAAATGAAGAGATTTTTTGGACTGTGTGAGTGTGTTTGGGTTAGCTTCCAGATGCAGCAGGTCCCCAATCCAACTGACCACACAGCTGCTTGAGTGCTCAAACTGGCAAAAGGGACGCAGCAGCATTGGGTGCAGGGATGCCTTTTTCAGGGAAAGCACAGTTTTAGGTTGATTTAAGCTGGCCACAAAACCACACCAGTATCTTCAGAGAAATGGAGCCTTGGTAGAGCCATATGGTTTAAGAAATGACAGTCTAACCAGTGCAGAGCCAGTACAGATTAAGCCAAAAAAAGACTTGCCAGCTGCTTTCAGCAAGGTCAAGCAAGTGCTATGTTTATTGCACCACTAAACATTCATTTTTAAACTGCTGATCAGCAAATTTGTAGATATTGTATATCTTGAAAGCTCCCTTTTCATTTTTCTCTCAAAACAAAAAGGTTAGTTCAAAACATCACAATGTGTACTTTTCACTGACAGGAGATTTCTGCACATGCTGTTTACTTGGTTGTCTGTGTAGAGGCCCATTATGCATAAATCAGTGCAGAGAAATAGGGGATTGTTTTATTACACAATGAAGTTTTCCAAAAATGTCTTAATTTCTTGTTCAGGAAATGGCACCATTGTTTACTTGAAACAGATACGTTCAGTGGCCTGGAGGAGTTTTGTTTAAGGAGACAGCCTAGCCATAGCTGTGAGTAAGAGTGTTGCATTGTTCTTGACAATAGCAATTAGGAAGATATTTTGATCTGAAGGTAATTAGCAAAAATGGCAAAATGCTATTCCAAAGCTTGACAAATTTTCCAAATGTTGAAAGATGAAATGAGTCCAGTTCTTGGGACAATTTTCAGATTACTCAAATGTCTTGCTTAATATCAACAAGAAATCATCTATGAAGAATCTCTGTAATTTCCATGGTATTAACTTGCAGTGCATTTCATATACAAATGAGCAGGGCTGACAAGTGCTATGTCAACATCTTAAATCCCTGAAATTTTATTATCTTGGGATCAGATTAGCAAGATGTTAGTGAGCAGAAAGACTGCTCTCAGTCCTTTTCCATATGACCCCTTAAATCCTCTCAATTGTTTTTTCCCAACAATAGTATCTATAATCCTTCTACATTCCAGCGCCTTCTCCCCAGGTCCACTTCTCCCACCTTATCAAGACCTCTGTGATATTCCTCACATTCCTTCTTCCCATTTACTTCCCTGATATACACCAGTCCCTGGCCCACTGTGCTTTCCATCAAGCCTTCCTGGCTTCCTCTATTCTTAGTCATGTGTTCTTACATACCCAGGGACCCATTGTACCACAGGTACAAAATTAAGTTCTCCCATTCCAAGGATAATTTATTTTCAAATCTAACTCTGTGTGAACTGCTGAAAGGGCAAGTGTAAACCAATTTAAGAGGAGAAAGATAAACCTGAAACATTTTACAATTGTATTACAATACCCAACACACACCACTCAAGGCAATTTGTCTTGAACGAGATCACATTCCCATGCTTCAACAGGTTAGCAGAACTGATCTGTTCCACCATAGCACATGACAAAGTGTTGGCATACAGAAGCTCAAAATCTCTGCTGTATGCAGATTGTGCTGTTTGCAGGATGGGATGAGTGAGAGGCTTGCCAGGCAGCCTGTTGCGGTTCCAGATTCTCCAGCTAATTCAGTGCTTGTCTGGACAGCTTTAAACTATACCAGCTGCTGACAGTCCCCCTCGGGATCATTTGCTAATTGCAGATTACCAGAAACAGCAGGGTATCCCTTTCTACTCCAGGGGTAATCCTTGTGCTGGGATGGAGGGGAGGGGAATTTAAGAACCAAAAACACAAGCCTCAGTTGAGAATTGCCTGCATGGTAGAGACAACTAATAAGTTGGTGAATGCTTGAGCGATTTCTGGTGCCTTTGTGCTCTTTCATGCAGGGAATCTATCTTTCGATATACTAATATCAGCCTATTAATTCATCAGTGTGGGTATCACACACCAGAATGGCTTCATTGTAATTTGTTCAAGTGGTTGGTATCTGCGTTTGCGCTAATCCAGGTCTGTGCTGTCCTGTCAAATTGATGTGTCTGTGTTTCCACTTGTACTGAACTCACTTGTCTGGTCCATTTCACTTGAGAAAGCCTTTATCTCATGTTTTTCCCACACCAGAAATTTGATTGTCAGGTCCTTGGTGTTATGTCAGTGCAAAGAACATGAAGCTGTAATCTGTATGCCTAGGACACAATTTCAAATGATACAGTTTTAATAGCAGCAGCGATCCTTAAAATGTTTAATCCTCCTTACTGACTTCGTTGTATTTCTCACCAGCACTATTTTGAAGCTTTAGTTACCATGTGGGCCATCCATTTTTTCTTGCTAATCTTTGGAAAATGCAGAAATCCTGCACGAAAGGTGACAAAACCCTGAGTCAGATTTCAAATTCCAAGGTCGCTCCTGTGAATGGCTCTCCAAATTACAAAAGCTTCCAGAAGAACTTTTTACTGCCGATACCTGTCTTAACTATGTGTCTGTAAAGCGCCTGACGGTGCTACCGATTGCATGGAGAAGAATTTCTTCACCTGTCACTAGAGGGCAATACAGCTGCTCACATCATTACACCGCCCGGCCATACTCCTGGAGGCAACTGCCTAAATCCACCGGTGCGAATTTCACGTCAAAATTCGCATTATTTCCTCTACCCATGCTCAGGTTCTGCCTTTAATAGTCACTTGTTGAACACTTTTGAACAGATGATCCAGAATGTCACTAACAGGAGAATGTCACTGAGGGGAGAACAGTTGATGCTGTTTACAGCAGCAGGATTTCTCAGTTTGTCAGGCTTCCTCGTAGGGGTCATTGTCCACACTGCAGCACTGAGAACAATAACTGCAATTAGACTCAGACACGTAGTCCCTGATTTTGAACTACTGATGCCAAAGGGAGATTTATTGCTGACTTAATTTCATACAGGATTTGTTCCTTGGTACTGACTTTTACCCACAACTGCATACACCAGAATATTATTTATATTGGATTAAACTGACTTTCCGAGAAATTATTTAAGAGCAACACGGATCTCTAGTTTTGTGCAAGCTGGGGTGAGGGGGGAGAGGGCTGGGAGAGAAGGAGGGAGGTTGAACTGTCACATGTAACTCAGATATTGCCAAAGAGGCTAACTTGTCTTAACCTGCAAGCACCTGGCACGGAAACTGTCATTCTGAACATTCCTAAATACAGTAATGCTCTCATTTAACCATGGCTGTGTTGGCTACGTTTAATGGTGGTGTAATTTCCAAAGGAGATAATGCTGTGTGATTACCTGGTATCAAAGGTAATTTCAGTTGTTTCACTGAGATTAAGTTTTTACAGCCCCCTCTGATTTTTTACCATGTTGCCCAACCTTACTCTCGCTTGGAGTCAGAGTTCTCTGATTTCGTATGATTATCTTGGGACAGTTTCCAAGTATGTATATGTTGGATTACCACCTGAGTGTATTTTCTTCCCTGCTTACTCAAGTGGTGCCTCCAGATAATCTTTCAAGGAGCCTATAAATATATATATATTCAAGCCTTGCAAATTCAAATGTGAAGCTCACATACTTGACTCCTTCCTCTTGTTTCTCTGCAGCCATGTTTGCAGTATAACCCCAGTTTTTCTCCCATTCCATGCAGAAAGTAGAAGTAGCTCTAACTAACTATTAACTTTTTTTTCCATATATAAAGAAGGTAAAAGACATTCATATTTAGGTTTTGCAGGAGTTTTCTTTTGCACAGAAGGTCTTGTCAAATCAGAAGAGTTAAAATATGGTGGAGTCTGAGTAAGGGAGGAAAGGGTCTGAGGAGGAAAGGCTCTGGGGCTATCTCCTCCCCCCAGATGCAACACATGAAGGAACACTATTCAACAGAAGGCTAATAATATATATATCTTTCAACCAAGTAGCCTTCTACATGGCATACATCCCTTGTCATATGTGATATGGAAGTCCCTCCCATGAACTAAAAATACTTGAGGGATCTGAACATAGATATATTAGCACCAGTTTTAGATGTACATGCTTCTGGTACATTGGGATATTACAGACACTTGCATTAAAATACATTTTTGTTCTTTTTTTCCTAAAGCTTTGGTTTGGTTTTTTTTTAAAGTGCCTTTTAATTTAGTTGTAACTTTTTATTTAACAAGTCCCTTTTATTAAATACAGCATCTTCTCTTTGAATGCAGGACTTGTAATTTTGTAATTTTGGGGTTGGCTCATATGTCCATTTCCTTCAATATCCTCTTTCTGACGCTGCCCAGTATAGCAAACTTCAGAAGAAGGCAGATGAAATCCTGCTGCTGGTTAGAACAAAAACTGCCATTTTTCTTTCTCAGAAAAATTATGCAAAATTTAAACAGCTGTATTCTAACACTCTACTATATCCCCATTCATATTTTAAAGTAAATGTAGATGCTTTCCTAATTTTTGTTGCTGGAGGCCAGCTTTACTTCCCCCCCCCCCCCCCCCTTAGTTCTTTCCAAACTTAAAGACAATACAAGGTGATGAAAAAGTCTTTGTGGTGAATCCCAAGTCTAAGATATCCCCAAGGCATTGTGGTTAGTGCAAACCCAAGAAAAGCATTTAATTCTGTAGATAGAATCCAGCCCTTTCAGTAAGTGAATACACGCCTATTAAAAACTCATATTTTTAAAAAACCCAACAATTCCAGGTAGACATTTTGATAGATTTGGGCAGATAAATTCTCTCGAGTCCCTCTGCACACAGCAGGGTTTGTCTCTGGGCCCCAGGACCACATAGGCACTGAGGAAGAGCAGTGAACAGAGTGGACAAGACAGTTAAAAAAAAGGTTGTGTTTTTTTTTTCCCTAACAACCCTCCTGAATCGAATCAGCCATCAAAACTCAGAATGGGAACTTTAAAGCCCCTCGCCTCCTTCTTTCTTTCCGTTTCCTTTCAGAACCCCTCACGCCCTCCGGGAAGCAGAACGAGGTGAAGCCATCACCTCCTCAGGACACAGCCCAGCAGCAGGGCCAGCCGGCGGGCCCGAAGCGGCACCGAGCCACCACCAGACGTGTGCTCGGAGCCCTTTCCCTCCCCTCAGCCTACAAGGAGGGACACGAAGAGGAGCAGGAAGAGAAGGAGGGTCCGTTTCACCCCGAGGGGCTGCCGCCTTCAGCGGCGAGGGGACGGGAGCTCCGTGCCGCCCGCCCGCCGCGCTGACAGGAGCCTCGCGGCGCATAGGTGAGAGCCGTTGGCGAGGAGGGAGGGGTGTGTGCCCCCACACCCGACCCCTGGGCGGGCCGGGGGACCTGAGTGGATGGAGTCCGCGTCAGTCAGGGGCAGGGCGAGGCCGGCGACGGGGGATAGCGGCCCCCGCCCGGCGGTGTGGCTCCAGTTGTGGAGGAGCTGCGGCACCATGCAGGCGGCCGCAGGGGTAGGAGGGGAAAGGCACCTGTTCTCTGTGAGGGGAGGCGGGCTGAGGTGGGAGGGCTCCCTCCGCGGGCTTGTCGCTGCTATGGTGCTCCTGCCGGTGTAGCGGCAAGCCCGCCGGTCCCCTCGGCTGTTCGATTCATCTGCTGCTTTCTAGGACGTGGTGGGCATCCTCTTCCTGGTGTCGGTGGCGGCCGCGCTGGATTTCAAGTACCACCACGCCGAGGAGCTGGAGGCGTACCTGAAGAGAGTTCATGCCACCTACCCCTCCCTCACCCACCTGCACAGCATCGGGCGCTCGGTGGAAGGTAGGGGAAGGGGCAGTGTGGGGGAAAAAGCTTTCTGCTCTATTTAAACTGAGACAAACATAGGTAGAAGTGGCTGCGGTGGCGTTTCGTGGGCGCTTGCTGGCGGCAGGGCTGCTTTAATCCCAAGTGCCGGGTGCCTCTCTGCTTACATCTGTGAAGTTTCCTCTTTCTCCCGCTTAAGCGTGAATAACGAACTCGGATGACACATAGGGCGCTTCAGCTAGGGTAGAAGTGCCTCAACAGCTTTTTATTTGAGAATTGGAAACCTCCCGAGTGGCAATTTCAGAAACAGGGCTCTCTTTTAAAGAGTTTAGGATGTTGTGGTACCCTGTTTGCCAAGTGCCATTCTAGGTGGGGCTGTAATAAGAGTGTGTGTTTTCTAACATGTGGCTATGTTAAAAATAACCTCTCTTTTGGCTCTGCCTATTATTCCAGTAAATCAGGACTGGCTAGAAAAAGGATTTCAAATTCCATATTGATATAAGGTCTTATGCATTAAAGGAATAATGGGATTTCAGTCTCAAACCACACAGGCAAATGCACTGAAATCAGTAATTGCCCTTCTGGCCTTATATAGCTATCTGAATTTATTTCTCCATAATACTTTCTTACAATACAGAAAAAAAAAAAAAAAAACAAAACAAAAAAGCTTGTAGTTTAAGATACTAGGAAGTTTAGTGTTTGGTACCATATAAATAGTATGTATCCATCTAGCTTTAAGCAAAAAAAAAAAAAAAGTAGATTTCAATTTGGGAAAGTAAATTCCTTTGATAGGAGGTATAAAACTAGGCAGGGACATTAATTCTTTAGAAACATCATCTGCTCTTCTAATCCCATTTCATACCACTGGAAGGTGACAGTGTAGCCTCTGTTATCAAATCTATGCATGTGTTTAAAAAAATCTGCTGCCTTCTAGGTAGATAACTGTGAAGAATGCTAGTAGCTTCTTTTCGTGCCTCCTTCCTTGTGTTAGTATGTATGTCTTCGCATTTTTCTTACATATACTTGTATTTGTCTGCGGCATAAGTCTTAGTTGATGAGAGGGTTCTATTTCAGTGAGGTATCTAACAGCTGTTGTCACTATGGATATGTGATCTTGTCTGTCTGTGTGCGGCTGCACTTGTGTTAGAAAGTGTCACCGTGGGAATACTCCAAGTAGACAAGGAAGCTGTGTTCTTCCTGGTTTCGCCAAAGGCAGGATCATATTGGACTGTGTTAATCATTCACACAGAGGAGGCTAGTCCCTTTAAGTGCAAGCTACCACTTATCCGCATCTTCATTTTCCTACCTTGAGGGGACTTAGCTAATGTTTTAATGATAGGGCTAGATTCTGACTTTTCTGGCAGGAGCTTTGCTGGCTTATCTCCATGCAGGTAGGAATAAAAAACAACCCTTTCATCCAACCTGAGATTGAAATTTTGGCTTTTACATATCTAGACATCTGAAAGTTGATAACATGAAGTGTTCAACTTGTCTGAGTTCCATCAGCAGAAAACTGGAAATGCATCATCTCTTGATTGTAGCTCAGCAGTGTACTGAAACTTCATTCATATTTTGGTTATATTACCTTCTGCTCTGCCAAGCTATGTGAGAAAAGAGAATTGTGTGGGCTCTGCCTTCTGCCAGCTACATGTCACGATTTGTGAAAAGGGATTATTTATGCCTTTTGCATGTCCTGTGTGCCTACAGTATTCCTCTGAACAGGATAGCGGGCAGTGGGAGCTTTCTTGGTACCATATAAAGCAGAGTGGCAGTGAAAAATGTTCAGTGCTTTTCTTTTTCTGAAATGTTAAGAGATTCCTGCCTCTGTTAAGAAACATGCCTTTAGAGCTCCCTGAAATATGGTAGAGGATTGTACTAAATCAGGCTCTTTGTTTTGTTGCTCATACTAAAAGTGTGTGGAAACAGAAGTGTTATAAATTTGGTGGAAATGAAGATTCAATATTGGTAAATTTGCTGAAGTTCTATTCCTTTTTTTTTCTGTGTTAAGCTGTCACGAACAAGAATATATGTATGCACTTGCACTTACTGGTATGGGTTTACTAGTGTCCCACTACCACTTAGCTAAACTGTGACAGCAAAATGTACCAGTTGATGATAAACTAATTTAAGTATTTTACTAATTTAAATATTTTACAAAGGCACATAGTGACAGGGCAAGGGAGAAATGGCTTTAAACTGTCAGAGAAGAGATTTAGACTAAGCAAAATGACCTGTTCTAGCTTCTCCTCAGATGTAGTTTGATCATCCTGGTGGCCCTCTGCTGGACTTCATCCTGTGTAATGATGTCTCTATTGCCCCAGGAAACCCATAGCTGAACACAGTACTCTAGATGTAGCTTTACCAATGCTAAGTGGAAGGGAA